GCGGCCCAAGACACATCAGGTGTGAGGCGGTAGGGGGAGGCGGCTGAACTGTTGCTGGATGAAGATGAGGACGAGAGCAAGAGGGAGGCTCCTGGCGAACCTGAGGCCGTCGAGCCCAGGCAACCACCACCTGCAGCACATTCCTGCTTTAGCCCTTAGGTGTAGAAAGCCTGTAGCCTCTAAAGGGGGTCATAATACAACAACAATGTGTTCTTTATGATTATCTAAATAGAAAAGATTGCAAAATGGACAGAAATGAATTTATGCCATAGTATGCTTATTGTTGATTTATATTCTAGGATGATAATGATAATAATGAAAAAAAATGATAATAATAAATAAATAAATAAATAAATAAATAATAATAATTATAATAACAATAATAATTATAATAATAATAACAGCAATAATAATAATAATAAAAATAATAACAATAATAATGATAATATCAACAAGAGTAATAATAACAGTAATAATAATAATAACAATATTAATGACAATAATAATAACGACAATGATAAAAATGATAAAAAAACAAACATTATCAACAATGATACCAAGAATAAAAGCAATTAAATAATAATAATAATAATAATAATAATAATAATAATTATAACAACAATACTAACAATAACAATAATAATAAAAATAACAACAATAATATCAATAACAAAACAATAACAATGAGTATTATTATTATCCTAAATATAATGATTTTGACTATTGATATCATTATTATTATTATAATTACTATTATTATTATTATTACTATCATTATAATTTTTATTATTATTATTATTATTATTATTATTATTATTATTATTACTATTATTATTATTATCATTGTCATCATCATCATCATTATTATCATTTGTATTAGCATTAGCATCATCATTATCATAATTACTATTATTACCTTTAATATAATTTTCACATTAATAATAGTAATAATAATAATAATAATAATAATAATAATAATAATAATAATATAATAATAACAATAATAATAAGGATAATAACAATAATAATAATAATAATAATGATAATAATAATAATAAAAATAATAATCACTTCTATGACTAGTTTTATTCAGACAATTTCCCTTCATGTAAAGAGATTCATGCAATATGTATCCTTTATCATCAACTACACCATTAACAACATAACATGACAGAAAACATAAAACCATATAAACTTTTGTTTCATCATCAGATAAAAAGTCAACATCAAACTATAACATTATAAGTCAAAATCAAAATATAACATTTTAAGTCAAAATCAAAATATAACATTATGAGTCAAAATCAAAATATAACATTATAAGTCAAAATCAAAATGTAATATCAAAAGCAAATGAAAAGCAATGGTTCTTGTAACCAGAGAGAGAGTATTAACCCCCTCTTCGTCAAAATCAACAGGGACTACTCTAGTAAACCTGAAAAAAAGTTCAGGCAACAAACTTATAACCATGAGGTTTACTAGTGTAACCCTGCTAAGTATAGGGACCGTTTGGAGTACAAGAATGTTATTGTAAGGACTAACAATTTGACTCTGACTTCATTCCCCTGTCACGGCCAAGCCAGGGTATCGTTTGGGTATGTTTGGGAATGACTTACTATTCCATAATGTTTTGGGCCCATATATAGACCTATATGGTGTGACATACAACAAAAAAGACAACAAAAAGGAAAAAAATAAAAGTTGTCTAGTCAGACAAAGTATCTAGTTACGACTGCACCGTGTGACATCCCCCCCCCCTAGATACTTCCCAGCCCCTCCCTACCTCCCCACACCATCACACCCTACACTTGCCTGATAAAAAAAATTCTACCAAAGTATTTACTTCATAGTGTTAGTAATTATCTATACTGTTATGCAATATATTTCAATAGTATTTGGGAATTCTAAGATAACCTAGGGGACTGATACCATGATAAAAAAAACTATGCTGATATATAACTTTTCATATCTGCAACATCTATATCTATGGGTACATTGAAAGATTTGTAAAGTATATTTTTGCACTTATACAACTGTAGTAAATACATTTTATATCACATACAGTGATTCAAAAGAGGTTGGAGAGGGAGGGCAGGATGTGGCAAAATGGTAAAGAAGGGATTAAGCCTAGAAAAAAATAAAAATCAAATGAGGAGGAGGAGGAGGAGGAGGAGGGGAAGGAGGAGGAGGAGGGAGAATGGAGGAAAAAAGAGAATGGAGGAGGAGGAGGAGGGAGAAAGAAGGAAAGAAGAGAATGGAGGAGGAGGGAGAAAGGAGGAAAGAAGAGAATGGAGGAGGAGAAGGAGGAGGAGAAGGAGGAGGAGGAGGAGGAGGAGGAGGAGGAGGAGGAGGAGGAGAAAAGAGGAAGGAGGAGGGAAAAAAGAGAAAAGAGGAAGGAGGAGGAGGGAGAAAGGAGGAGGAGGGAAAAAAGAGAAAAGAGGAAGGAGGAGGAGGGAGAAAGGAGGAGGAGGGAGAAAGGAGGAGGGCTGAGGAGGAGGAGGTGGAAAGGAAACTGAGAAGGAGCCGGAAAAGGAAACTGAGGAGGAGGTGGAAAGGAAAAGGAGAAGGAGATGGAAAAGGAAACTGAGGGGGAGCCAGAAAAGGAAACTGAGAAGAAGGTGGAAGAAACTGAGAAGGAGGTAAATGAAACTGAGGATGTGGAAGAGGGAACTGATGAGATGGAAGAGGAGCCTGAGGAGGTGGAGGTGGAGGAAACTGAGAAAGAGCAAGAGGAGGAAGAGAAGTGGGGGGGGGGGAGGGTAAAAAAAGAAAAAAAATGGCAGAGAAGGAAAGTGGGACAGGAAAATTGTGAAGAAGACAACAATCATAAGGATGATGAAGAAAGAAAAAAATAATAAAAATAACAAGAAAGTGTCTAGTTAAAAAAACATGAAATAATATAACCTTATAAATTTCAGATCATTCTAACTCCAGGTTTAAATAATAGTGAATGTAACATTGAAGTAGGTACTTTCCCTGTACTAAATGAAATACTTGATAAAGTATAATAAAGTTAAAACAATGGTATCAAACGGCTCGTAACAAAAAGGGTTATTTGCATGCATTTATTTCTATTTTAATTATGCCTTTTTTCACTGTACTGAAAGTTCTTGCTTCAGATAATAAGAGGTAAATGAAATATGAGAAGAGAGGAAATGTTAATTCTCCCTCATCAACAAGTCATGAACATCTGTACATATCCAAGTAGATATACGCAGACCTAGACAAACCAAAAGTATCTAAGATAATCTAACCAGTATGAAGCACAATTTGTTGAAGGCCTTTTCTTTCTTGCAATGGAAGTATATTTTGAAGGCCTTTTCTCTCTTTCAATGGAAGTATATTTTGATATCTAAATCACTTTACTACTACTGACACTGAGAATACATGTATACATATGCTGCTTCTACATTTTTTCATTAAAAATCTTTACACACAGAAGGGTCCAGAGGCACTTGGTCACCAATGAATGAATTAAAAGATATGACTGACCTCACCTATACAAGTCATTCCTTTAGCTGATTCTGAAGTAACTAAGCACAATGTGTAGATAAGATTAAGAAAGTAAAATAATAGTTTATGTAATGATAGTTTATGTATCCAACACTGATGCTGGAGACATAAGTGTAATGACTTGTTATGGGCATGAACAATATATATTCTCATTGATCAGAAGCAATTTGAGGTAAATAAGTTAATAAGTCAACAAGTAATCAATTACTAAGCCTACCTGACCTACCTTAACTCTATAATAATACCATTCTCGTTATTGGCATTATTAATAATATTAATAGTACTACTAATAAAAGTCTTCTTTCCAAAATTATTGGAAGAATAAGACAAACAGGTAAAATTAGGAAGGCTTAGGCACCTAAGCACTTGTGGAGCCATCGATGATTAAACAAAGTTAATAAACTACAATCACAATGCATGAGGTACATATACATGCCCTCGTAGCCTCAACAGGTAAATCCCTTAAATACTTTCTCATCACATCTCTGGTTATAAAAGGTTAATAAGTTAACTTCCAATTCTATCAAAAGTAATACATTTCATAGAAAATATCCATCTGAAAATCCCTTAAATGCTTTCTCATCACATCTCTGGTTATAAAAGGTTTATAAGTTAACTTCCAATTCTATGAAAAGTAATACATTTCATAGAAAATATCCATCTGAAAATCTTTCGGCACAAAAATATCCTAGACCTACAAAGTCATAGATCTGATCATCTGGAATGAAAAAAAACTAAGTGTGGAAAATCATATATAATACCAAAATAATCTGATGTTTTATTTATTATTAAGAAAAGAAAAGAAAGTAAAAAGATAAATAAATAAATGAATAAAAATAAATAAATAAACAATAATAATAAAAAGATATATAGATAGATAGATAGATATAGATATAATATTTCATGCATATATATATATATATATATATATATATATATATATATATATATATATATATATATATATATATATATATATACTTTTCATATAATAAATCACAATAAAACTTCATTCCCAGTATGTTTACAGTGCCTGGTATTGGCCTACCGAGCCCTTAAAAAACACCTAACCCCTTCCTCCCACCCCTGACATGTCATTTTTGTCATTATATGGTAAATGTTTGCATCCTCGGGCAACGGATGCACATCTCTATGTGGTTGAACTTAAGTTGTAAATACATAATGTCTAAGCAGCAATAATACTTGAAATCTTAGGAATGCAAAATGCTCCCTCTGAAATTCACACAAAAGAAAATATTTATCAGTGGATGTTTTAATAAGGTGCAGTATAAAATAACAAGTGTAAAGTGCAGTAAAGATTTGTTACATAAAATCACTACAAGTTACATTAACATCATGATCATCTATGAAAACACTCAAAATTCCAATATGAAGCCAAAAGCTTGTTTTTTTTTTTTTATTCTGGGTTCAATGCATACTATTAAAAGATTGAGATTGTGTGACAATATCATCATGGAGAACAATTG